TTTTTTTTTTTTTGTCTCAGAAGCAATTGCTTTTTAAGAAAGAAACAGTTTTTGTGTTAATTTGGTACTTTGTGGAGAAGAAACGGCAGTTGCAAAAAGCATTAGGTAAGCAAAAATGCATTTTTTAATGTGAAAAAAAGAAAGTTCAATTTGATTAATACTGAAGCTGTTCATAGCTTTTCAAAGGTGGTGTTTTTCGACCAAAAACGGTTAAGTCTCCTCGCTTTGCAGGGGTACTATTCTCAGCTTGAAAAATTCTTCATTCTTCTCATGGATCTCAAATTTTGAGGAGTAAACAAGGTTTGTATACATTTTGGAATGGTTCGGAAAAATGTCTTTGGTCGAGAAATGCAGTTGGTCGTTATTTTCTATGTTCATTTTTTTGACTGGTGGGAAAAAAGTGACAGCGTAGCTACCAATCTGTATAGTTGATGAGAAGTTGATTTGGAGGTCAGTGTATTTGCTTTTTTCTGCTATTTCATTTAATTTTTTTAATTGTTTGTCACTATAAAGCTGCGTTCACAGTTTCATATGGACAGATACGTCCATAACAGGAAAAAAAAAAGATATATTTGGAAAATAATCTTAAGCCAGAATTTTTAGCTGGTCTTTATTGCTTTCTTTCCGATTGTTCTAATTGAGAAGCTTCCTGTGAGAGGGGTTATTTTACCTGTAGTTAAATTACTGTGTGAACTTTGATACAGTAATACGTGGGACAGTCGGCAAAAGAATTGGCCTATAGTAATTATAAAATTGAAACATTACATTCGTAAATAGCTGACTAACGTAATCTGAAATTGTGTTTCAATTTACTATTCTTTCAGTGTTGATCTCAATGCCAGTAGGGCCTTAAAAAACTCTGGTTTTGGTATCCCAGGGGGACGAAGAGAACCGGAAGGCGGTAACACGACTTTGTGCAATATCTGTAGTTACATGGTTTCTGAACTGCTTAAGGAAGAGAACTGGAATAGACGAGTAAGTTTCATAGGTTTATCTTTTTCTTTTCAACTGTCCAACCGTAATATAATATTCCTTTTTAATTAGTATTGTTAGAATACATTACTGCCTATTTTCAGATCGATGTTTGAGGTATAGAAATAACGTTTTGCACTATAAAGATGTACTCTTCTAGTTTTGGCTCTATTCTAACTATGTAGTTCATTATTTTCTAGCACATCTGATATTAATTTTTTCTTCGGGAAGGAATGAAATCCTTTTTAAATGCTTTTTTTCAGCTTTTTTATCTTTTCATATTAAGAAGATTTACCAGACAGAACAGAAGAGCCGTTACTTAATTTTCTAGTTGTTCATAACAAGAAGTTGTCACTTGAAAACGCCACTCAACTATCCACTTCCTAAGTGACTTTTATAATTAGCTCAATACG